AACATTTACTGTACAAAGGTCCCCAGGAGTCATCAGTCATCAAATGCATTATTTCCCATGACAATGGCTGTGTTGCAAAGGTGAAAAGATGAGATGTATGATAAGTTTGCATGCGAATGGGGTTGAGAAAACTTTCTGGAATTTTGCAGTCCCCTGAAGAAGAGGGAGAGTGTTGTGTGGGTGGACCTGAATCCACATGATGGATGCAAGTCATTGTTCCCAGGTTTATTCCTTGATGAGAACTTTGCCTGACTCTTTTGGATGCACAAAGACAGTGAGTTGGATGTATTTATATGTTTCTGCAGTGAATCTAAATATGATAGAATATAGGTCTTGAAATAAATCTTCTCATTTTCTAAACATGTCTCTTATCAGAATAATATGCTTCCAACTATAGAAAACTATTAGTGATCCAGAAATTAAACAGAGTTTTTGTCAACTGTTATATTGAGTAAGAAAATCAGGCCTTTATTCCAGGCATTTCTTTGTTGGGATGAGTTTTTGTTTTGAAACATTTCCGTTTTTTAAAATATTATTTACCATAAAAATGCTATAGAAATGGAACACTAACATAAAAACAAACACTAAAAAATACCATCACATTATTTAAACAAGTTGAAAATTTCAGCAAGAAACTCACTGGTCAGAAGTGTGAGTATAAGTTCATTTGAAGACATTGGAAGTGATTCTGTAAATTTTAAGATTTAAACTTTCTCTGCTTTGTGTATTTGTGTGGCAGCAGAGCTACTGTAGATATATTTATTTTGCTTTGATGTTGGAAAATACTGGACTAAATTTGTACTAAAATGTGAGCCTTTTTTGGCCAGAGGATCTTGAGGGATCTTAACTTCAGCAGAGGGCTCCAGTGAAAGTACCAAGAAATTTCAACACAATGACGCATTTATCGTCCTGGTTTGAATCCATTGCATATTTCCCCCCTATCATAACATGGAACCGCGCCTCAAAAAGCCACCTCCGCAGTTTTTCCCTCAGAAAACTTGGAAAGTACAGTGCATAAAATATCCATCAGGAGAAATGGTTCCAAGACCATTTGAATAAATGCTATTCGGTTTTTCTTTTCCTCCTCATCACTGAAAGTTGACTTTGTGGGAATATTTGTGGCTTTTTCAAATGAATATTTTATGGCCAGGGAATGGAGTCCCCATGCTTACCATAGCGCCTGGGCTTTAAAGGTCACAGCAGGTGCTGCAAGACTCCCTCACAAGCATGCAAGCTGCACCTGCCTCTGCTCAGTGCAAGGGCTAACCAGGCTAGTGCTGTTGGGTGTAGCAGGGCTAGAGGAAAGCATCACATTTCCAGCTGCTTTCCCAAAATAATCACAAAATTTACTGTCAATCTGAATGTCCAGCAGAAGATAATTAAAGTCAAAACTCTCAAAACTATAAAAATCAGGTGTGATTGTATGGATGGCAACATGAGTGATGGAAGCACAGATTGCTTGAGGGTAATTATAAAAAAAAAATTACTGTATGGTAGAAGGGGGTTTGTCCTTAAATTCAAGTACACAAAAAAATAACTACCTTAACATGGGATTCATAATAATTCCAGGAATGTTTTGTGCAATAAAGTTATCCTTTGGGCAAACACTTCAATGCTGCATGGTCTACAAAATTATTTGGTAGCTCATGGACTTCAATCTCCTGCAGTAAACTGGACAATAATGCTAATTTTGAAACATTATTGAATTCATATAAGATGGCCTGCTAAAACATAGCACATTTTTCCATGAATATTCCACTTTATGTTTGCAAGGCTGTTATGCTATGTACTTGGCCTCCTTCCTTTCACAAATTTTGAAATATTCCAGCACTTCAGCTGGTGCAGCAATTAATTAACACCACCAAAAAATGGAAAAGAACCCTCCACTGTCCAATGGTTGAACTGAATTATATTTTCCAATCAAAATAAAAACTGCTGAGAAATGCTTTGGTTGCAGTGATGCAGCTTGAATTCCATTAGTTTCATTTATATGGTTTGTATCAATGCGGGAATAATTGTAGTCAGCCAATCCAGTATCAGTATACATTAAATTTCTCTCTCCTCGTGTATGAACTGTACTGTATGTACTGTACTTTACCATTTCAATTTATATTTGTGATTATTCCAATGTTGTGCATGTGATCATTCCAAACGAAGAAATTCTCTCATAAACTCTTTTCAAATGAAATAGTTGAATTGATTAAAAAACTGGGCTGTAACTCACATAAGCTTTTCATACGAAAATAAATTGTGCAGAAGTAGTTTCAAATATATTTTTATATGCATGTTACGGATCCAAATCAGTTTGACTTTAAGCAGCTTGTAACTTGTATCCTCTTCTTTATTGAAGACACGTCCATTATGCTACCGCCCGGATAATTGTCACATAGTTCACTTCACAATTCTGTATATGCAGTGAAGGAGGAAAATATGGATACACCCTTTACCTAGTACACCGGCATGACTACAGCGATCGATTCCTGCATTGACGTCGTTTCCTGTGCTGCTCCGCAACAGGGATCTCCCAAGATTCGTCTGCCTCTGTCTCACTACCCTTTTCCTCTGTCCTCCGTATACCCCGTATCTCTGTCTCACTGCCCAATGCCTTGAATCCCCTCCACCCCCTCAGGGACGAGGGAAGAAGAGCAAAATGTATATGAGAGCGGCTTCTCTATGGCTGACTCTCGCTCACTCTGTCTGTCCTTCCGCTCCCTGGGCTTTCTTTCTCCCCGGGACACGATCTTCTGTGTCTGCTGCTCCCTGTGGCCACTGCGTGCTGACTGGCAGGCTGCGGAGTATCGCCAGTTGCCGCCCAACTGCCGGACAGTGCGGACGTGTGGTGACATCCGCTGCGTCCTTGACGTACGATTCGCGTGTCATGTTATTTGGTCATGCCTTCCAGCCATCTCCGCGTTCTTCAACCGTGAGAGAAGTGTGTGTTTTGCTATTGCATTCGGGGTGTCGGTCGTGTAAATCGAGGTGCATATTTGTGAAAGGAAATGTGAATTGACTTTTGCTGGCATTTATAAACTAGTCCTGCAGATGTTTGTAGCTGTTTTAAATACAGTAATGTATCTGAACAACGAAGCCAGTTGGACCAGTAAAGTGCTGTACCTTTATTGTGATGAAAACGTCCGTAACTCATTCAACATCGTGACTATAGTAGACGGAGGCGTAAAAATAAAAACGACTTCGTTGTAAGGGATTATAGTTGTTGGAAAGAGATGCGGTGTACAGTAATGAGAATTTAATTTAATGTTCTGTGTTGTCAATTGGAGAAACGCTGTGTTCTAGCTTCAAAATATACTGCATCTGAAAAGTCTGATGCAATTTTTTATTTTGCATGAAAATTATAAGCAGAGCATCCAGCAGTTCTCTATATTCATACCGTTTGGATATCATGAGCTCTTATAGTGATTCTCGAGATGATGGTCGTAATTGATAATGAATTGAAGGTAGTTGACGGCAAGGATATTTTTTTATCAACATCCAGCTGCGAAATGGTGATATGATGGTACATAAGATGTTGTTTTGTTTATTTGTTTACTGTATTTATATGGATATAGTCTCGAATATATCGACGTTCGACAGTTTCCGAGAGTCACCTGTGTGATTTCGGAAGAGATTTTATTCAAAAATGTTTATTACAGTCTTCTAGAATCATCGCTTTTTACCGTCTCAATTTGTGTGATCAACATCCCGAACATTCATTCAAATCTCCCGGGTGCAATTTATCGATTGATTTTTCGTTTGTGATTTTTTTGCGAAGTTTCATGTTACTCGAATATACTCGTCTACAGTATGCAGCAGTTAAATTTATGCCTGGGTGAATGGAATTTGAAGCGCAAAAATGTACATAGCGTCGATTATTCTGCTAAACGGAAATTAGATGGAAATATCTTTTCGTTTCATCGCCGAAAAAAAAGAGGGGCCATTTTCTCCAAGCACCAGCTGTCACAACAGGAACGTCATGTTCCTCAGTGTGTGTTGCTGATAACACTTGTCTGTTTGTCGTCGACGCTTCCCCCGAAAAAAAGAATAATAAAAATAACTTCCGCAAATGTGACAAAATAAGTGGATGAATATCAGTTTGAAAAATATAAATATTGGTTACTATATAGTGTGTGTGTGTGTGGTGATGAGAGGCCAGGAGAGAGAGAGAGGGACAGAAAAATGAAGAATAAGAAAAAAGGTCAGCCAACAGCTGCTGGGAAATTCCTCGTACATTTTCCTCTGCGCGCGTTTTGAACCGGGGATATTCGGAAAACCTTTTTTTCCCCCAGGATGATTCTGCTTCCTTTTCTTGTTTTATTCTTTTTTGAATTGGAAATCCCATTTTCGTAATATTTCTGGAAATTATTTCAAGGCAGAGCCTTTCTTCTCAATCCGGCTTCTCGCATCATCCCACTTGGGAATCCAACTTTTTCAGGGAAATCTCCCGGGCTCCGAAACTTTTTTGTATTCTTCTTCGAAAGCAATTTCGATCGGAAGAAGATCTATCATTCGAACCTGGATAACTTGAAGTTGAATATCTTTCGATGTCAAATTTTATTTTTCCGTTTGATTTCCCCTAGGAACCATGCATTGAAAACCTCCATGACTCGAATTTTCTGGAAGCCTTCTGGAAAATATTCCATGTTGAAACACGACCGACGAGAAATGGAAAAAAAATGTAACGATTATTTTCAAAGGAAGTGAAAGAATAATCGAGTAAATGAACCGTTTTTTTTCAAAGTTCAGCATCCCGTCAACTCATTTGAGAAGCAATTCAAGGCCCCCCCAAAAAATAATCACCAAATAAATTTTTTTAAATTCATTCTTGCTTTCCTCTCCAGCAGAAATTATCGTTTCCCCAACTCAGAACCTTTCAAAATCGTTTTTATTTTACCGGTTCCGTTGAAGTTCGACTTAAAATGACTTGTATTCCTGAAAAGCGTGATGTTTTGAAGTGTGTATGTGCGGTATTTTTCAAAATGTGTTTTGAACTTTTGATCAATTTATATCTACAGGCGACACCATGGGGTTGAAGTAGTGGGCCGGCTTGAGGCTGGTTTCCATTTCTTTTCCTCTTTGAAATCCAGTATAAATTTCACCAACGAAACCAAACACAAAACTAACCCTCGTAATTCCTGAATTCGAAAATATTAAAAAGAAACCGCCCGAGCCATTCGACCTCGAAATACAGCATACATAAAAACGCACACTTCGGTGAGTCAAACGAAAAGAATTCCAATATGTGCACACACACACGCACGCAAAAAATATGTGGCATGTTTCTGTGTTTACAGGAGAGAAGAAAAGAGCCCCAGGGCTCAAGAGCAAGGAGCTGGAAGAGAAGCAAAGAGATGAGCTGTTGCCAGGAGCTCGTGCAACTTGGCCTATACAAAAGTGACCTAGAAGCCGAATAGATCGTATAAGAACAACAACGAGAAAGGCGGTGGGATCCCTATAGGAATAAGGAGATCCTTATTCTTCTCCCATAGAGGGAAATAGAAAGAGCAACAAGAGGATCCCCCCGTTGATTTTGGCAGCATGCTGGTTTTGCAGCCAAGGAGATGGAGCGTGTTTGCGGCGGTTTTCCTCCAGCTCCTGATGCCCAGCTTTCATCAACACGTGGCTGGTGCTGAGACACTCATTGGTAACTGCCAAATTATATATATATAATTTTTTTTTATTATGCAAAAAATACTCGATGCGACGAAAATAATAATCTTCTGCAATGGCCAAAATTAAAGAAATAAATCCCGATATTCGGCACATGTACTGATGTAAGAACACTTTTCCTACATTTCTAGAAACTTTGACTTCTCTCTTCAAAATTTGAATACATTTTTGGACTAACCAAAATTAGAGAAATATTGCAGATTTTAAGCTGCAATAAAAACATTGCAGATGAAAGAGACATCTGAGTGCTGAGGCAGTTACCCAGCCTCAAAGGGAATTTAATTTTAAAATTGCAAAACTACATTATGACTGCAGAAAATAAGGTAAGCTGGAGCATCCTCACTCCTTGGATGTTAAAAAAGGACTTCATTGTTGTATCTGATCACAGGTTTCATAAAGACAACAATCACACACACAATCAGCAAATACAATTTCACATTGTGCAGTGAAAACTTGCTTTCAAAAATAAATAAGATCAGCAAAGAAAAGATGCTTTGCCTATGGCACAATTCCCAATTTGCAAACTTTTTAAGCAAATAACTCCACAAATTTCACACTTGAACATTTTTGCAACATCATACCGTGAAGATAAAGATGTGCTACAACTTTTCTTGAATCATATAAAGATTGACCTGATTGAAAGATCTTGAGATATCCTCACTTTTATAAACTTGAACTTTTCTTTGATGATGAAAGTCTGGAAAACCTTCATGCGAGATTTTTTATCTCACTGATGCACAAGCTTTCGGTGCAAACATTGACTTTAAATAAACTTTCTAAAAAAATCAGAGAAGGAACTGGTTTAAAATCGTTACCTCCCCAGATATACTTTTGAAAACCCCGTGGAATCTGTAATTTTGAGGTTGTTTTTAAAGCCAGAAAAAAAGGTTTTGTTGAGATGTTCACCTTTTTTGTGAAATGCAGCTTGATCTTGATCTCATCAAGAGTGAGATTTGCATAATATTCTTGTTCGTTTTGAATATGCAATTTCCTATTTGCGCTTCACAGTATATACATTATTACATTTGAATTTTCCGGTTTCGAAAGAAAATTGTTTGGAAGCAAAATTCAGGTTTTTGACAGGTGAATGATTGACGTTTTGTTGTTTTTCTTCTTCATCGCAGGATGTCTGTTTTCTCCATCAATCTGTGCCCCGAAGAAAGAATGGTGTTACGATGGTGAGTACCTTTCATCTTGATGATCTTCCACATGAACACACATTTTTTTTTTCAAAGGGGCAGCAAAGCGGAAAATTGCGTTTTATTTCTCTCTGCCCCCGTGGCTCTCGCAATATTTTCCAGATCCTCGGAGATGCATATTTTCACCAGCTCTTTGAGATAATCTGCATGCCAGCCAGACAGCTTTCCAGATTATAAGGCGTGACTTTTCTAGGGGGGGGGGAAGCCATTTGTATGCATGAACGGTTCATTGCGCTTCAAAGATCCTCTGAGGCGGGGATCTTCTTTGTTCGCCGCATTTCGGATGACGGATAATTGTCTCAGCGTACGTATAGGAAGAACACGGGGAGAAAATAACGCGAGAAAGATCCTCTGCGGATCCCTGGACGAGACGTAGATCCCAGGGGGATCCCATTTTTCTTGATTCATTTCTCCCGAAAAGTCAGAGCAGTATTTATGGTACCTGCTGTTGTATATTATTGTAATTTTTCTCTGTTATGAGCAAGAACAATTTTTTTTCGGTTTCTCATCACTTTTTATTTGTGTGTGTGTGTGTGTATTTTTTTTAAGGTTAGACCAGGGGTGAATAAATAATGCGACCTCATTTGGTGTGATGGGATTATAGTAGGTGGGAGGAGCTTTGCGTGATTCCTGTCCAGCAGAGGAAATCATGCGTGTGCATAAACTTATATTTTGGATTAAGCATAATGGGGTGGGAAATGAGGTGCGTTTTGGTTATAAATAATGAGATTCAAATTGCTCCTCAAGATCCTGTCACTGAATCTGACACATTCTCACATCAATAACTCTGGGCCATTTTGTTTTCTGCGCTGTTGGACGCATATTACATAAATTATTCATATAGTGAGTGTAACCTATTTTTCTCATGAAATGAGCTCGGGTTGTGAGATGATGTGAAGGTGGATGAAAACAGTGCTCTAAGATTGTTTTGCTTCATCAGATTTGTAGAGATTATTTTTTTAAACGTTGGGCTATGTGATGTGCAGGAAAATCACAGTATTTATTCAATAACTATAATCCAATAACTTAAAAAAAGACAGTTGAATAATTTTGGAATTAATTTTTTAAAAATTAAGGAATTAAAAACTCGTTTTTTTATTACCATGGCTCAGCCAACATATTGTAGTCATAATATAAACTATTGCCCCACAGCATTTTATTTTTAAGATACTGTGTGAAGTTGTATGAGTATAATTACTTCTTGATACTCTCACAGAGTAACTTTTTTGTTTCCTTTGAAAGTTCCAGAAAAGGATTTAAATCTCCCACCTCAGTCAGTACTGGTTGAGCAACTGATTTAACAGCAATTGTCTGATCAACAAAATCATTTATTTGCGCTCCAATTTTAGACAACAATAATATCAGATATTGAAGCTTTCAAATTTCTGAAATTTTCACGTTTTGAGGCTAAAAAAAAGAACAAAAAATGTATGTGTTTTCCGCCTTTTTCAGTGTTGGTCTTCCTTTTTGAAACAAATATCAAATCTATTTCAAAACGTGCTGGAGCACATGCATTTTTTTTTTTACCTGAAATTTTGTCTCTGAGAATCATTCTTCTCCCAAAAGTGTTTCCATCATGAATAAATTTGTCTGTTGATGCACAGAGTCACTGATGCTTCCTAAAAAATCCTTGCGCATATGTGCATTTTCCTGGTCAAGTTTTCAAGATTGAAATTCGGGATTTTATTTCGGGTGAAACATGTGTTGAAGTCTTGAAGGTTCCTCAACTATAAATCGGATTAGGAAAACAATAAAACGCATCTATCAGCCAGTCCCAGGCTGATTGATACGTTTTGTTGTTCTGATCCAATTTATAGTTGAGGAACCTTCAAGTACTTAACACGCATGAAAAAATTGTGTTTATTTATGTCTCAACACAATTTTAGTAACTCAGAGAATTGCAATCACACACAGACACAAGACAAGTGCACAAGTCTTTTAGAAATAATTAGGGTAAAGTGTATCTCTGTTCAGTTGGAGCGTTGACATTGGAATGAATTCAGTGATACATTTTTTTGGGAGGAAGAAGAAAGAGTATAGGAAAGAGGTTTTCTTTGGGAACTAAATATTGGCCTCTGATTGGCTGATTTTGTTGGAATCAAAGGCATGACACAAGTTCTTTGAGACTTGTTCTTTGGTGCTGGACTCTCTATAAGCCCTGTACGTTGGGCAAGCATGCCATGCATTTAATAATTATTATAAATACAATCCTTGGAAATACAAAATCATTTCCCCCCTCATCCTCAAAATTTCAGTGCCAGAAACATCCTGGCGCCATAGCATCCTCTGTGAGAAAAAGACTATGTGCTTAAGGAATCTCACAAAGAGGAAAAGAGAGTGATGTGAATTAGTTGCTTTGAATCAAACAAATGCTTGGAAAGATGCTTTTGGCTTTGACAAAGTCTGTCAATTATAAAAGATTAGGGCTTATGGAATCTTACAAAGAGAGATGAAAGAAAACCTTTCAAGCAGCCAGGCTGCAGCTGGAACAATTTTGTCCTAGTTTAAGATGGTTTATTTCAAAGATGGGAATTTGAGTTCACTGTTGAAGATTTCACACAATACGCAAAAGCTTCTCTACATGGAAATCCGCTTGCGTTCGCAACTCAAATGCAAGTGCTTTAATCAAGAGAATTTTAGGAATCAGGAAAAGAAGAGTTGAAGGAAAATTCAGAAATCTCCTTGCTGGGCCTGGGAACCAAACTTGGGTTTGGTTCACAGCTGGCTCCAGCAGAAGCTACAGAAGTTTTCAAAGGATTTTAGAGGAAAAATTACTTGTTTAGCGCAGAATTTTTTGCTTGCCAAAGTTTTTTCCAACATCCTCAACAATACATTTCTTGACCTGATTAAAGGAGTAAAAGCTATTGAAGATTAAATATAATTCTGGGTATACAAGATGCTCATCTTGTAATACTTGGTATCAGTTGTGATTTGTTACTCAAGTTATTCATTTATCTTGGAGGTTGTAACAAGAGTTTGTTGAGTTGTTGATACTTCTCCATTTATTCTGCTGAAATACATGTACCCCTTTAAACTGGGAATACCTACAACAAATTCCCACTCCTGTCTAGGACTGATTTTTGTGTTTAATTGTGTTATTTGATCCTCCACATCGGCTTATATTGTGTTGACACTTGTCTCAATAAGCCCCAGCACCTGTTTAACCAGTTAGGGATGCAGTGGGAGGATTATTATAATTTACTTAATTAGTATGCGCTGCAGTCCTTCAACAACATGGAATGAATTTTCTGGTTTCTGTTTATAGTTTGTCCATTTTCCTGGGTGGTTGTATCTGTCCTAACCTCATCACAATATTTTCCCAAAGAAAAATTGACTGTCAAGGCATGAATGTAATGCATTTCAGGTTCATATGAAGTATAGACATGTCCTGTGGGAAAACGTGATGCATCAGGAAATGAAGTCTCCCGTGAAAACACGAAATCTGGGAGATGGATGCTCTTCTATATACCAGCATAGACTAGAGATACGCGGAACGTACATTTCCTGCCTTTCCAGAGCGAAATGGTGACAACTTGTCAGACGAGGAGAAGCGAGGGGGATTTATTGACCCGGAAAGCCTACATCATCCTTAATCCAGCCTGCAAAATCTCGTTCCGCCATTTTGCAATCCTCGTCGCTTTTATATATAAATATACAGAGTCGTCTCAATAAAAGCAACAAAAAAAACGGATAGGAAAAGCAATAAAATCGGGGCTTCTTATCGTATAGGTCTTCGAGTCAAATACGAGCATATTTTATGTACTATAAGGATTGACCTTTCTAGAGGATATGGGAAAAAGGTTTTCCACTCGTCTTTTATCCCCGAAAAAAAGGAACGTCATTTGATCCTCTTTGTGTTTATCGTTGAGATGCAATATTACTGAGATGATGTCGGATTCGATTTATTGTGAATAAATTGGGTTCATTTTATTTTTCGTTCGCAGCCAACCCAAACGAAATGTTCTTCAAAAAGTACGAGAAAAGTTCAAACACACGCCGAGAAAATACCTGAAAATATATTAATAGCGCGTGCATTTTTTTTCCTTTTATGAGTGACATTCTTGTAATAGTTTCAGGAATTTGTCTGTGTTCAGAGTACGTAATAAAAATGAATTTAGTGAGATTATTATTCTTCGAAGAAGCATTCGATTATTGATTTCAACGAGTTGAAATTAAGAAGATTTGTCCAGATGATGTTAAACGTGTCTCTCGTATTTTCGTCACACATGCTCTTTGCAATGAATAAAATTTAAAATCAGGATTATTGCAATGTTTTTCTTTCATTTTATTGCTGTTTGAGTTATGCAGAAGTGGCATATATAAGCTTCAGATCCATCTAAATATTTCTCTTATAGTCAGGCTGGAATTTTGTTACTTATGATAACCTGAATTGATGAAGCGTACTATTTCAAATCATAATACGTACACTTTTCATTTTTTTTTACAAATTAAAAAACCACAGCAAGGGTCCGAAACGTTTGAAATGCAAATGTGAAAATAATTTGGTTGCGCCGAAGGTTCTAGAAATATTTGTGTTCGCGCGTGCGTAATATTGATAATTTTTAAATATCATCATATATTCCTGTCATTGACTTCGTTGTCGACTCTTTTCTTTTTATCATAGAAACAATGAAAGCATTTTGATCAAATCAACTCGAATGTAGGATTTTTCTTCTGAAATTTTACCTCGATATTTGATAAGCGATGTTCGATGGCTGCCTTGATGAATGTTTTCTATAATCTTCCTGAACGGTTAACTTTTTTTTCTGTGGTTCCCCTGTATACTGATGAAATATTGAAAAATGAAAGAAGGTTCCCAGAAAACTCAATGTTGGTTTGCATTTTTATTTTTTATTTTTTAGATTCTGCGTTTGGAAGATGCTTGTCGGTGGACGGAAAGCTGACAGCAGGGGACATGGTGCAATATTCCCTGGAACCTAGTTCCCAGAAAACTCAATGTTGGTTTGCATTTTTATTTTTTATTTTTTAGATTCTGCGTTTGGAAGATGCTTGTCGGTGGACGGAAAGCTGACAGCAGGGGACATGGTGCAATATTCCCTGGAACCTCAGGACTTGTCAGTGCTGGAGGATGAGATGCAAAGGCTGTACAGCCTTGGCTTCCGCTGGGACCAGCTCTACACTCAGTGTGTTCTTCAGGCTCTGCTGAAGAGGATTGCTGAGGGGTTCGTTATATTGCAAGCAGACTATCTAGTGAAAAAAACTTCCTCTTTGTATATTGATAAAATAAAATTCCAGGACGACACATTTTTCATTACCATGTAGAATACTGTGAGAAACATATTGTGCTGAAGGAAACCCCACAAAGAGGATAAAAATGATATGAATTAAGACTTGAATTAAACAGGTGCTTGGAAAGATACGTTCAGCTTTTGACAAAGTCTGTCAAGTAGAAATCAGTGCTTATGGAATTTTGAGATGAAAAAGAACACTGTCAAGCAGCCGGGCTGTAGTTGGGACAAATTCATCCTAGTTTAACATAGCATATATTTTGGAGATGGGAATTTCAGCAAGATTCATTGGTTAGAATTTTGCACAATACGCAAAAAGCTTCTTTTCATGGAGATATGCTTGGGTTGGCAACTTGGATGCAAGTGCTTCAATTAGAAGAATTTATAAATCAGGAAGAGTTGAAGGACAAAAAATATTAGGTATTAATTGTTCATTCAGAAATGTCCTTGCTGGGCCTGGGAACCAAACTCCAGTTTGGTTCACAAGCTCCAGCAGAAGCTGCTGCAAAGCTGCAAAATTTTTTTTGGATCAGAAAAGAGGAATTACTTGTCAGGCACCAAATTGTTGGCATGCCAAAGTTTTTTCCAACATGCACTGTCACTGTGTACTCATAGTACCTGTTGCCAATAATAAGTAAGTGTCAAGAGTAGTAGGTTTAGAAATTAAGCACTTTAATTTGGTTGGAAGGGGTGATCAACCACCCTATTATTGTATAGTTTTTATTTTCTTCAGACACACATTTTTTATGGCAAAAATGAGAGTTGTTTGCTGGAGTGGAAGTGATGCAATTCATGTGGAAAGAGTTACCAGGAAAACTATCTTCAAGGATATCAGAAAAGTATTGGCCAAACATGGTCTCAAAGATACAAAGACAGATGTTTTTACAAAGATGACCTTGGAGGTCAAATTCCTCCCTTCCAGGATTTCCTGGGAACAGCAGCCCTGTCCCAGGAAGTCTCCAAAACCTGTCTCATCTTCCTCAGAATTTCCTGTCCACAAAAAATTCGCCACACATCATGTCGCAAATTCAGTGAATGAGCTTCTATAAAAGAATTCAATTTATAAAGTATTTGCCTCTCATAAAATTTGACCTGTAGCTCTCAAAGAGCTTGACCTCTATCAATTCATCAATTGCCAGATTTTAATTTGTTCCGCCATCTGTTGAGAAAGATTTTTGGCCTCCACCAAAACTTGTCCTTTGGAAGCTTCTGTGTGAATTGCTTCACTTCCTATATGGCGCTCACAGAAGTCAAAATAAATCTTTACCAACCTCATAGGTCATAAATTGCTTATTTTAGAAGCAATAAATTGTTAGAAATTAGAAATCTGTATTGATAACGGTCATGTCCACAAGAATGTTTTTTATGCTTGAAGGATAGGTTTTCTGGAACCCTTTCCTCAAACTTTTCACTTCACTTCTTCCATGAAAACTTACTGTGACAAGACTCGCAAGTGCTCAAATTTTCCCATATTTGAAGACTTTGGATTTGCCTATACTTGGACTGTTTTTGAGAATAAGACCAATTTTGAAGTATGGCGAAACCCCCCCCCCCCCCCCCCCCCCGCAATGGGCACTGTTAGCCTGGGGAACATTACTACTTACCTAACTCAATTCTCTTCACTGCAATTCCAGGATGATGTGTGCAAGAATGTTCTGGAAAACGTTTTTATCCAATTATGAGGTTACACTGCCCTTCTTATTTGTTTGAGAAAAATGCACAGTGTACTTGCATGAATAAGGAATAACAAATTTGTTTGAAGGTTTTTGCAGAAAAAAAGATTTGAAAAAATAAAATGACAATTTCTCTGAGTCATTGCAACCAATTTTTTCTCGCTGATTTTTCTTGCAGTTTCCAATACAATTCTTGAAGTTTTTGAAATCCGCTTTAAATATCAATATCAATTTTAGAAGCTTAAAAATGTAAATGATTGCTTGAATCAAGAAATTGAACTCTGACAATGCTTCTATATAGAAAGACATTTCAGTTTTGCATTAAACATTTGATATATCCGCTATATATATTTTTTGCTTTGGAACAGTATTTTGTTTCAAAATTTTATTCTTTGGTCTGAAAACTCAAGTCTGAAGGAATTAAAGTATACCCAGTATAGCGCAGAAAGAAGAACTGATCACCAATTATTTTAGCAAACTAGTTCCTGAGTAATCATAAGAAATAACCGTTTCAATCTTGCAAAAGATGCAAGTAAATCTAGTCCTTTTAAAAATAATCAGTTCGAAAAAGGAGAGAAAAATACAAACGTCTGTTTTGTCATGGGTCCATTGGATCCCAGACAAAGGAATTGAATTGTGCAGCCATCATACCCAGGTGCTTGGACTGGGTCAGGAAGAAATCAGGTGATTTCTTCCTGGCTCAGGATTGGCCGATTCAGGCAAAATCTAAGAAGTGAAAACCACTTCTTCTCCTTGAGTGAGGCTCAGTGAGTCTCGCAAAAACGGGATTTTTGCGGGATTTTTGCGAGGCTCACAGGCCTCAGAAATCCTACAAGTTTTGGGGTCAGGTTTTGGCCGGATGCTGGAGCTGCGTCGCTTCGGTCCGCGACATGTTTCTCGGAAAATTGGAATCTCCTTAAACAAATCTCGATATAAAGAATGATGGATTGAAACGAATTCCATTTCTCAGATCCCTGCCTATTTAATAGGCACGATTTTTTGTTTTAAAAAGAACAAAGAATTTTTCGTTGTGACGTAGTTATTATATTTTACTGATCCCAGTGCCGCTTCGTTGTAACTAGATTTTCCTTTATCAAAAAAAAAAAAAACCAGGTCAAAGGCGCCGTTCGATCGCGGCGGCTGCGACGAAACATTCCCCGACGACATCAAAACCCTGAGCTTCATGGACCCAGTCGTCGGCACTATTGAAGACAACTCCGTCATCGACACCGACGACGGCATCTACGTGACCGAAGACGACATTCAGCGCATGATCAAAATGAATCCGGATGCTGCAGTGGCTGTCGACGAGAATGGTGACGTCGTCGTCGTGGCTGACGACGGTACCGACACCGAATCCGACACTAACATCGACACTGCTGCTAATGGAAACAACAACAATAACGATGGAATCAGTGAACGGGAAGCGAATGCCAGGTTGCTGAGTTCTTTGTTGGAGGACCCCAGGTATTTGGCCAGTGTCAGGTTCACCCCGTCAGCGCTGAACCCACACTCTGGGTTCGCTGATGAGGTTTACTCGCCGCCTGAGGAAACCCTGGCTGCTATGGCTGCTGCTGCAAAAGTTGCTGCTGGACAGCATCAAGAGAGGCATTCTGTTGGTAAGCATTTATCCCATGTTATCCTGTTGTCATCAGTTGGATTAAACAAGGTCAAGTTTACAAAACAATATAATGTACATATATAACACCCATGTGGGTGTGTGTGTGCATATATATGTATATATATTTCAATATACACTCAGACAACAAGTATGATAGATCAATTTCTTTTGAGAGAGTTTCAAAAATACGCAAGGAAGTTTCTCTGAGAATGCATTCTGCAATAGTCCACAAGATTCTGATTCTTCCTTGAGAATTTTGTGGAGCTTTTATAAATTGTGGATGAGTACATTATTGAACCATAGGGAGATCATTTCATCTTCTAGGGGCAGACATTTTTCCTAAGATATAATGTTGATGGTAGTCATCCCTGAGAGAATATTTTGGGAAAAACAGGATTTTGAAATTCACTTCAGGGTATTGGGTTTGAAAAACATGCTCTTTGGTATATACAAAAATTGTTGGCAATGTTTGAATGAAGAAAAATACCTAGGAAAATTGCTCATATAATTTGAGAGCAGATTAGGTCTAATAAATGGCTCTGTTTCCTGCTCTGAAGTGATTGAAATTCACTGAGTGGATTTGGGTTGGGTTGGAAGGGGGTTTGGTTGTGGAAATCTTGATTGAACCTTGTGAATGCTGAAAAGCGGCAAATAAAGTGTTCTGTNGGAAATCTTGATTGAACCTTGTGAATGCTGAAAAGCGGCAAATAAAGTGTTCTGTTCATTCATTCATTCATAAATGGCTCAGCAATTTCATACAGTCACAGATCCTTCCAAGCATTTCATTCTACTGTAAATATAGTAAACTGTTTTGAGAGGAAGTCTTTTCGGAATATTGGATAAAACCCATTAAATGTATGCATCAAATTGGCATTGCAAAAAAACAATTCAGATGCTCTGCATAAACAAATGAAATTCCACTATTTTATCAAATTTTCACAGTAAGCCATTTTTTATGTTAGGAATATTGTACAATGTGGCAAGTAGTTCATTACAATAGCATACAATAAAAGCTTGATAGAACATATACTGTTACAACCAATTTTTCTGCATAACAAACTTCTTTCCAAGTCCTGGCAGAAATCCTGTAGGGTACATGTTGTAAAAATCTTGTTGCAACAAACTCACCAATAGGTCATATTGTGTGAAAAAACTCCTTGTACAAAACTAAAGGGTTACTTCAGTAGTCCGTATCAAATTTTAAAGGGTAAACTTACACTGACACTGACCAAGAACCCCGTACTCCACCTTAGTTCCCGAAAAATTCTTCAAAATTCACCTGAACATCCTTTTGTTCAAAAATTGTTCCTGGGTTACAAAAGAGGGTGGGATGCAGGGTCAGGGTTAGATGGAACAAATGAACTCAGCAAAACTAATGTTAAACGGGGTTTGTATGTTTCAGAATCCCTATACTAATGCTTCAAAAAATTATGAGCTGTTTTGGAACATCCATACTTACAAATCTGGGCAAGAATGGATCAGAAAAGCTTTAGGTCAACAAGAAGTGCTAGTGTTTACCTGATATTCAGAGTAAATGTTTGTTAGTAAAGTTAAAATTATTTTTTGAAGATTGCACTGAAATTTTAGACGAATGCGTTACATTAGTTGCATCTCTTTGTGTTGATATCAGCAGTGAAATTGTGTTTCAACAAAGCTGCTCTGAGACATAAAAAAGCTTTGTCATACAGTACACAAACAATGTGTCCTAAAAGTTGAATATCACTACTGTGTATACTTGGCAGAGAAACCCACGTTTATAGAATTATTTCTCGTTAGCCAGAATTCATTAATACAATATTTGTGGTAAAAAGGCTGCTGTATTTTAAAGTTGCAATCATTGTGCTGTCAACCATGATTGTGTCTTGTTTGATTATATTTTCACTCAAGCCCAGTGACCCCTCAGACCTTCAGATGACATTTACTTGAAACTCTCTAGACAATTATTTGAGGAAAGTTAGAGTCTGTTTACCTTCCATTTGTGACCTTTTCTGTGAACTAAGTTCAAATCCACTTCATAGCCTTTTTCATAAGAAGGTTTAAAAAAGTCCACGGTTTCAATGCATTCATAAATGAACAAAATGAGTATGTTTCTGGCTTTTCCCCCAAATTCTGAAAAATTCTCTCAACACCTGGGCTTCTAAATTAGGGCATTTCAATAATATTTTGTCGAATTTCGAGGTTTCAATTGCAAATGACAGCAGTGAATAGTTCAAAATGACAACAACACAAGAACAAGGAATTTTGTTTTTCAAGGTTTTGCAGTGCTTCAAATAATATAATTTTGGCCAAAAGGATGCTACATTTACAGATTTTTGTTGGCAACATTGGTCTGGCCTGCCACAACTAAGTCTTCCAACTTTTTTGGAATCAAATTGAAATTGATAAAACCAGCATTTGATCTTCAGCAGCCATGTTCACTTCCATCATACCAACACTTTCTTTGGTGTGATGTAAGTTTCCAATTTACTTGGAAAATTGCTCTCAAGATATCTATCCCACTGGATGGTGCAACTTCTTTTAGGAAGAAAGTTTGTATCCCACAATGGGAGATTTGATTTGCTGATTGCGTGTGTATATCTTGTTGTGAAACCTGTGATGAGACAATAATGAAGTCCTCTTTCAACACCCAAGGAGGGAGGATGCTCAAGCTTTCTTCATTTTTGCAGTCATAAACGCAGATTTACATTTTAAATTGAATTCCCTTGGCGGCTGGGTAGCTGCCTCAGCAGTCAGCATTTAAATGTTAATTGCATCTGGAATGTGTTTTTTGCATCTTAACATCTGTAACATATACAAATGCATTCAAACTTATTCCAAAGCATTCATGCCCAAGTGTTTACTATACCTATTCCCCTGTTGTTTACATTGTTAATTAACTGTTGCAGAAATAAATGCATTCATGTACATTTAGAAAAAATGCTTTTAAAGTCACTGTATGCACCAGAAGCTTGTGGATTAGTGAGATGAAAATCTGGCATGAAGATTTTCCAGGTTCTTATCACCAAATAAAAGTGATGTTTAGAAAAGTGAGAATATCTCAAGATCTGTCTATCAGGCCAAGTTGTATATGAATGAGGAAAAGTTGAAGAACATCTTTAGCTTCAACTTATGATGTGGAATTTTTCAAGCATAGACTTTGTGGAGTTACTTGCTTCAGAAGTTTGCACATTGTGAATTGTACCATAGACAAAGCATCTTTTCTTTGCTCATTTTATTTCTTTTTGAATGCAAGTTTTTACTGCATAATGCAAGATTGTATTTGCTGATTGTGTGTGTGATTGTTGTCTTGATGAAACCTGTGATCAGAGACAATAATGAAGTCCTCTTTTAACATCCAAGGAGTGATGATGCTCCAGCTTCCCTCATTTTCTGCAGTCATAATGTAGCTTTTCACTTTTAAAATTAAATTCCCTTGGAGGCTAAGTAACTGCCTCAGCACTCAGATGTCTCTTGCATCTGGAATGTTTTTAATGCAGCTTAAAATCTGTAATAATTAAAATTACTGTATTTACTCAAGTACCGCGCGCACCTTTTTTCTCAAATTTCAGAAGAAAAACGGGGTGCACGTCATAAGCGGGTACAAATTTTTCAAGAAGTTTTAGAAAGTTCTATGTGCATTATACTTGATCATAATGGAGAAATTTTGGTAAAAAAAGTGACAAAAAAGCTTTTTAGTACTGAAAAAGCTGAAAATTGGTCAGATTATTGTTAAATTCATGTCCAAGGTCAAACTTTTTTTTCTATTTTCGAAATTTAGTGGTTTTAGATTTACTAAAAAGTGGGGTGCGAGTCATACTCAGGGATAAGATTTTAGCCAAATTTCCAACTGAAAAAACCCTGTGCGTGCCTTACTCAAGGGCACGTGGTACTTGAGTAAATACCGTAATTATTTTTTTTAATCACAGATGCGATGTTGCCAATGAATCTCCTGCGTCAAGAACTGATGGCAGAGGCTGGCAAGATAAATCCCAGCGAGGTCAGCATGAAAGACCTCGCAGCTCTGGCATCAGCAGCAGCAGCAGCTCTACAGGACCCATCAGCATCAGAACCCAGTCTTGAAAACCTGCACAAGAACAAGGTCCGGGTTTCCAAAAGGGTCCTAGGGATCGACAAGAGCCGGAACAAAAAGCGAAGCAAAGGAAACGGAAAGCCCGAAAACGTGTCGAAAGACGAGGAACGTCGCGGTGGAATCAGCGCGAGTTTCGAGGACGACTTGAATTACTTTGACGATTATGACAATGCCGAGTTGACCAGGGACAGGAAAGGAGGCAGTGATGCTCCGAAATCTTACAAGTAATTTTCATTCTTATTGCATAACGATTCTGAGCGCCTGTGTAACAAAAACCCATAAAAAATAGCATACCATAAAGAAAGAACTTACTCAACAATTTGTTTTAGCAAAATTTAATTCGCCAGACAAAAAAAGTCGAAAAATTTAGGAAGTTAAAGTCGTTAAATGTAACTGATCTTTACTGAAGGAGTAGTTAGAGAAAATCGTTTTTAACTTAAAAGGTAACATTTTTAACGTACTTTATGTCGATCAATAGGGTAGTTTGGTAAACATTCAAAGCTTGAGTGCCACAATAAAATTTGGCATCATCAAGGTAATTCAGTTCTGTACAAACTTTTAAACATAGTATTTTGGACATGCCAAAAATTGATAATCCCATGACATAGCGCATGTTTTCTTGGCAAAATGTCAAGCATCAAAAGTTTAGGAATGGCCAAACTGCACCCACATTTCATTCTTTAATACAAGTTTAGACTGCATGAAATTTTAACTTTTAATTAAACCCTCAGGGGATGTTGTGCTTTGCTACTTTTGTGCACACAAAAATTCTGTGCTACAGAAAAAACATCTTTTTTCCATGAGGTAATCCACTGTATATTTAGCATTGGAGTTTTCCATTTACTAAAGTGCAGGACATTTTTCACAGCTATTTCAGGGACATTCTGCTGATGCCATATATGGGGCATAATGGAGACTCATCTGGAGCCATTGACTTGGCAGCTTTGTGGCAGTCCAGGAAACTGACTGAAGAGGATGAAGATGAGGACAGCATGGGAGAAGAGGATGTCAGTTCTGATTTCAGTAAGTTTCTGAATCACAAAGTGGAGGGACTGCCATGATATCAAGGACAGTATTGCAAATGTTCAAATGATCAATCAATTCAAACTTTTTCTTTGCTGTTGCTAATCTGGAAATCCTTCTCCCAAAATCCTTATCTCACTTTTATATAAGCTTCTGGTGCGAACAGTGACTTCAAAAACCTAGTTTGTTCTTTCGTGGATGAATTTAATTCTGTAACAAATGATAATAGTCCAGGAACAGGCTGTACACCTTTTTGTTCAAGCTGTGCTCAGTAATTGTCTTGTGCTATGTTTTTTCTGGAAAAATATTGATGCCATTTTGAATTTACTAGGATTCATTTTAATTTGAACAAATTTGTGTGTGTGGTTGGGTGCTTTGGTGATGAGGCGAAATGTTCTGAACCTTGTGAATGCTGATAAGCAGTGAGTACAGCTTATTTATTGATCTATCAATGTCCTATAGCTGAAGCATTTTACACTACATTGCCCCAAAATATCATTCGAGATGCATTGAAAACCCTGGAACTTCTTGCATTGAAACTTAAAGGTATAATTTCCACAAAAACAATTTTAAAAGATATGCTTCATTATAATCCAATTGTGATTATACCTTGCCAACTTAAAACTTTCTAAGTAAAAAAAATTCAAAATATTTTTACTTAACACAACAACTTTTGCTCAAGCCTTCATTACTCAAACTTCTGGAGGGCATTTTTGTCTTGTATCCTTATTGGTAACCAGGAAAGAGAAGAGAATTAAAAGAATAAATTGATGCTTTTCAAAAGAAATTTAATGTCTAATTGTACAAATTTACCATTTTTTCCAAGTTCAGCATCCTGCCAACTTATTTACATGAGTTGCTCAAGGACCAGAAGATCACCATTTTTTGTTCCCTGCAATTCTGTTTTTCTTTTTCTGAAGAAATGCTAATAGTTTACTTGAATTCAAAACGTCTATAAAAATAGAAATTTGTTTGGTAGATCCCTCTGAATTCAGCTTGGATATTTTTGACTGTATTTTAAAATTCACAGATGGAAAAGACATGGTCTCATCACCCCTTGACAATGCTTTTTCTCAAACCCCAAAATATTTTTAAGTCCCTCTGAATTCAACTTCATGAATTTTGACTGTATTTAAAAAACAATTTCAGCTGGCAAGGACATGGTCTCACCCCTAGACGATGATGGCGACTTCGAAATGCTTTCACCATTCGCCCAGAAACCCGTTTCTCTGGAAGATGGTCCTTACCAGCGCCTGGAAAGAATGGATGTGAAGAAACCCGGGCCGGAATTTGACCTTTCAATCCCACTGGAACCCCCGAAACACGGGAAACACCATAATCACCATCAGGTCATTCATCATCAGGTCCACGTTCATGATGACGACCACGATGACCTCCAAGTCTCACCAAGCGCAAAACACAACATGCTCTTCCAAGACATTCAAAATGATGATCATCAATTCACCCGCCCATCTGGAAAACAGGTTAGATTCCCTATCATTGTAAATAATGTGTGGTGAGCTGTTTGAATAAATTTATTCAATAGGTTTACACAAATGAATATTTATATACGAGTATATAGACATGGCTGCTGAACAGAACAGCTTGATTAGGGCTTGATATTAACCCAAACTTCCTCATCAATTTAAAGTTTTCCACACTGGCTGTCGTATATAGAGTGTAACTTTTCGACCCCTGCACCCCATTCCAAACTTTCTAGAGAGAGAAAGCGAGACACGGAGGTTGAAATTATTCCGTCTCTATTTTTTGAATATTTTTCAGGAGATCCTCAATAAGTTGCCACCACCAGTGAAGCCCAAGAACCAACTATTTCGGAAAGATTGGGGCTTCCTGCAAATCACAAGACCGTCAGTATTTTCGATTCAGGATGAATTTTTCGAAAAATTCTGAATTAATTTGGATTTTTTTTCCAGGTTTGCGGACATTTTGGAAGGAAGACGATTGGTGGCTTCTCTGGAAAGACTGCTTCGATTGGAGCCTGGAACTTTCACTGAAGCCAGGTGAATATCTGTGTCATGATGAATTTTTGCATTGGTCACAATAATCAAACTGTTTATGTATATATTTTGTTTTGGTCCTGCTGTATGTAGGGTTGAAAACAACCAGGTTATGTTCAAGGTGAACCCTAACCCGCAGCGGATGAATGTCACGGATATCATTATTGGAGCAGGTTTGTTTTGTATTGAATACAAGTATATTATCTGTGGATTAGATCTACGCAAAAGGCAGAGTTTCAAAAATGAAACACAGAATCAGCGGTGGGCGCAGCTGGGGATTTCCTTATGAAATCCCAAAAGAAAGATGAAAGTATATTTCAAATAAACCCCAAGATTGATTCACACACTTTTTCACATAATAAAACACAATAGATAAAAAGATGAAAGATAACCTTCACAATCACACACATGCATTGCAACACAAATCTTTTTTAGTCTGTTCTTCTGCACACCTGATTTGTTGAAACCCATATTGGTGACACTTGCCGCTTTCTAACTTGCCGCACACTCAACCTGCCACTGTCACAACTTGCCCCAGTGTTAACTTGCTGCTGTCACAACCTGCTGCAGTGTTAGCTTGCCACTGTGATAGGTCACTGCAGGTAGAAGTTGCTGCTGCAACAACTCACCACTGTGATGACTTGCTGCTATCACAATTTGCCAAATGAGTTGCAGCTACTTGTCATTGCACTGACTAAAATTTCAGGAAAAAAATGAATTCCCAAATTCTTCCACTTCTTAACTAAGCATTATGCTGTGTTAAATTTTTTAGAATATATAGACGAGGAGGTTTCAATGAATTCCTTCATCCTCAACTAGTACTATTGGTGGCTAAATGATGTGCATTTTATTTTTTATGGTAAGGTTTTTTCCATATTATTGTATTCTACGTTTTTCAATTGCAAACATGTTCTGCTGTGAATTAAGTTTAAAAAAGCTCCAGAACTGTCTGAATTAATCTCCAAGTACAGCTTGTTGAAAGAGTGGCAACTTCTAAATACTGCAAGTTGTGACTGCAGTGAGAAATGATTGTGACAACTTGTTGCAGCAGCAACTTGTAACTGTGGTCACTTCAGGCTGCAGTCAGTTGCAGCAGCAGCAAGTTAGGGTGCGGCAAGTTGAAGTGCAGCAAGTTCAACTGAGGCAAAGTTCACCCACACTGTTAAAACCCTTGAAGGGTACAGATTAAAATCTCTAGTATTCAATTAATATGGCTGCCATCTAACAGCAGTTGGTGTGCGCAGGTATACAGCAGTACATTAAGGTACCAAATTATTGTCACAAAATCAGTGCATTTTTCTTCAACCTCTAAGTTTTATTTTATCAAGGATCTGTAAATTTTGATCCTTCTCATGTAGTACAACATATTTGAAATCATATCATTTTTTTTTGAAAATGTGAGCAGCTCATGAGACTTTTTGTATTTCAGTAAAATTTTGACCTTCTTGGAAAATTTGCTGTGATCTTGTTAAGATCCCATTGATCAATTTTCAGAGAATTGAAAAATGTCAAAGAAGCTTATAGAAGCCTTTTGATATCAATCCTTTCAAAGAAAAGTCATTGTACATGACTTACCAATTTTTAAAATCTTAGATGGCATTTGCAATTTGATTTTTTTTAGATCCCATTAATTTATTCTCAGAGAACTGGAAAACTTCCAATGAACAGCAAGCTTTAAAGTATTTCACTCTTTTTTTCCTTGCAAGAAAAGTCGTGATTCATGACTCACCATGTTGATCCACTCCGTTGGAATTGTGCTATGATTTTCTTATTCACAATCCCATTGAATAATTCTCAGATTGCTGAAAAACTTCAAATAATTAAGCTTTCTAATGCCTCTCCTTGAAAGAAAAATATTTTTTTATGACTCACCAATTTCGTCTCCAAAATTTGCAGATAAATTCCAAGAGGCCATCAAGAATGATGTTGGAGTGGAGCTGGAATCTGGAGGAATTGGGGATGAGGTGGGAAATGTTTTTTTTTTACTTTATATTTGAGAAGTTTTGAAATTTTTCTTTTCAATGTGTTTGGACAGATAAAAATTACGTGGAAGGACTACTTGCCAACTGCGCAAGAGAGGTTAACGTTTATGGGCCTGTGTTTGGCAGCTTCTACTGTAGCATTGATGACAACTGGGTTCATACTGTACGCGTTAAGACGGCGCTGCCAGAGCAACGACAAACTTCACTTCTCCAGGAATGGTGACCATGAGGCCAGCAGGGATTATCAGGTGAAAATCCCCATGATCCACGGTCCAACGTAGTTGTTATTCCGTACGGAAACCCTGTGCATGTAGGGTTTACAACCCCTGTTTCCCGTGGTGTTGTGTTCTTCTTATTACGACACCTAGTTTCTTATAATCTCCTCTCTTTGTGTCTATCAGCTAGCCCAGGACAAAGATCAGGAATTCTTGGTAGAATTCCTAATTTAAGCTTTCAGATGTATTTCAAAAGCTTTGTCCCAAGAACAAATTAAACAGCAATACAATATAGTAAATTCACAAGATATACCAATCAAGAAAGAACTTGGAGAGTCAATTGGAGTCGGTTTGTGTGTCGTGGTTATACTGTCGATTTTAACTCGACCATAAATAAAACTACTCACTTTCCCAAAAAATAAAAGAAAAGGAGTTAGTTCGAAGAACTAGTTCAAAAAAAAATTTCAGAGGCCTATGATTGGCCAAGAAGAAGTTGCATCAAAGATTTCTTGGTGCCAATAAGGCACTCACAATTTGGGGAGGGGGACAATTTTGACAGTTAACCATGGTTTTCTTCTTGGGTGGTTTTTTCCATTTCCTCTTGCTTTGGAGGTTTTCCCCTTGATTAACTGTTTTAGGTTGGTAATTTTAATGGGTTGTAGTGGGGGTGAGCAGCAAGTCCCCTTCACTAAAAGAATGTGGTGCTGATGCAAAGTAGGATGCATTGCTTCCACAGCATTTTCTGATCCCTGAACAATATTTTCATCCAATTTTCCTAATGGTCTGTAGAAAAGGATAAATTAATTTATAGATATTTCGGTCTTGTGTTTTTCTCTAGGATTTGTGCAGAGCAAGGATGGCTACAAAGGCTCAAGAGAAACCTGAGCCCTTGCATAAAATCATCACTGGCTGCATCAGGGATGATGGAACTGGTGGACAGTCTCATCAGGGTGTGACTGGATCCCCTCACTCCTCAAGATCCTCCACATCATCCTGGACTGAGGAGCCTGTTGCTTCTAATATGGACATCTCTACTGGTCACATGGTTCTGGTGAGTAATAAATTAGCATTGCCAAAAGGAAAGAAAGTTATTTTCTACAGAAATACCATTTAAAGAAAAGCCCTTATGAGAGCAACTTTTTTATTGTGTAACTCCAAATTTCATGGGAACAAATTGTGGGAAATAAAATTTGAAGAATGCTCAAAAGCTCTGACAAGATAGCAATATAAAAAATTTGATCTTTGTTTCAGGAATAATTTACTTCCCTCTATCTCTGAAGATCCTTATGGGACCAAGAGCCACCTCAGGTTCCCAAGTATATTTATCCTTGAATTTAACCTTGCCAACAGCATGTCCAAAATATTTTAGCTGACACTATCCATCAGTTATGAATTTTTTGAATCCTTATATTTGGGGAGGTTTTCATGGTCAGTCTCAGCCATAAGTTTCAAACAGTTGCTCTTGAGAATTCAATCATAACTGAATCCAAAAGGACTTGCTTTGTACTCTTCTGCTCATAGAAAACAAAAATAAAGCTAAATCATGTTGAAGTATTTTCTACATGCAGTCTCAGCCTGGCTGCTTATTGTTTTTCATCATTTTCTAAATTTAAAAAATTAAATTTAAATGAAAATTTTCATCATTTTGTGTGTGTCCTTTCTCGCAAAAACTCCTGTGAGACTTGGTTGGAGGGGCAAAATAATGATCTCAGGCAGACTTCTCTCTCTCTCTCTCTCTCTCTCTCTCTCTCTCTCTCTCTCTCTCTCTCTCTCTCTCTCTCTCTCTCTCTC